TTTGGGATAAATTATCCAAACGAAATTTAATGAATGTTCTACACGATCACCTGGTGAGGTCCCCATGGGTTCGTTTGGGTTTTCTTTGGTGGGGTCCCCATGGGTTCTCTTTCATGAAGGTCCCACCTGAAACGCAGCCGTCGGACGGGTTAACGGGTGGGTCCATGCTTATTTGGGGGTCATCGACGAGCGCTGGCACGCACGAAACTGGGCGGACTACCCCGCGTGAAGGTCCACTTAAAACCTCGTTGGATCCCAACCCAGCCGATGGATCCAGATGAGAAGGCGAAGATTCCAACCGCAGCACCCATTTTTAATTGGCGTCAACCCGTCCAATCCAAGCCCGATGCCGCCATTGTCTCCATGCGTCCGCCGGCCCCTCCCCCGGCTCCCCTTATCCTCGGATCGACCTTTCCCGCTACGGGTCTCCTCTCGAGCAACGTCTAAGTCCATGTTTATGCCACGCGTCACGATCTCATCGGGTCAGCTAATATGAACTCACCAAAGATGCGCCGTGCTAAGCTGTCTCGTGTTGTCAAGGAGACGGCTGATAAGTAAAGCTATTCCTATAAGGTAGAAGGCAGTTCGAGCTCGCGACGAGGAGGACGTGCCCAAAAATGGCGCGGAGGGCGACGGCATGCTAAGCGCGGGTGCCGGGATTTGGCCTGAGAGCAGCGCTGACGACGGCGGAGATGAAGCGCTCCCTCCGCTTTCCCTTCGTGCTCCTCGTCCTCGTCGCCGCCGCGCTCAGCTGCCGCTCGGTGGCCCGCCGCGGCCTCACTGTCGGGCCCTTTATCGACGTCGATGCATCGCCGCGGCCGATCGAGGCCGAGGGCCCTAACGAGACCCTTTATCTCCTCTCCGCCGCCGAGCCCGGAGCGGTGGAGTTGCGGCACGACGTGGAGGACCTCCTCGGTGGGAGCCTGGATTCCGCCGAAGCCGCCGGCGGGCGCTACCGCCTCATCTCCATCTGGCGGCGCGGGGTAAAGCCAGGGAATAGGTCAGGGTTCACGGCCCGGCTTCGGTTCCCCGCCCTGCCGGAGCACCCCAAGCACGACCGCGTCTTCCCGGAGTTCCGGCGGTTGCTGGGCGATTGGTATCACGACCGCCGCGCCTTCCGGCCGGAGGTTTTGTCGGAGCTCGTGAGGCGCATCAAGCGCCCCGTCGACCAGCACTACGGCTACCCGGACACCGGCCGGCCGTACGCCACCTGCGCCGTCGTCGGCAACAGCGGCATTCTCCTCAAGTCCGAGCACGGCGACCTCATCGACGGCCACGACCTGGTCATCCGTCTCAACAACGCCCGCGTCGAGGGGTACCAGCGCCACGTCGGCTCCAAGACTTCCCTCTCCTTCATCAACAGCAACGTGCTCCACTCGTGCGCCCTGCGCGTCGGCTGCCACTGCCACCCGTACGGCGACCTTGTCCCCATCGTCATCTACATCTGCCAGCCGGCGCATTTCCTCGAGTACATGGTGTGCAACTCCACCCACAAGCCCCCGCTGCTGGTCACCGACGGCGCGTTCGACACCCTCTGCGCCAGGATCGTAAAGTACTACTCGCTGAAGACGTTCGTGGAGGGGACGGGGAAGCACCCGGCGCAGTGGGGCAAGTTCCACGACGAGAAGATGTTCCATTACTCGTCGGGGATGCAGGCAATCGTGCTGGCGCTGGGCATCTGCGAGAGGGTGAGCGTCTTCGGGTTCGGCAAGTCCACCGACGCGAAGCACCACTACCACACCGACCAGATGGCGGAGCTGGGTTTGCACGATTACGCAGCGGAGTACGAGTTCTATGGCGACCTCGTCGAGCGGCCGCAGGCGATACCCTTTCTTAGAGACGCCGGAATCAAGGTTCCCCCTGTTGCTTTCTACCATTGAGATACCATACCTTATAGGGTTGAAGCAGTAAGATAAGCAACCAGAGAAAGAGAGAATAGACAAGAAGGAAAAGGTTTTCTTTACGCTTCATTTTAATTTGTAAATCGATTGTGATCGGTATGAAGAAAAAAATCAGCCGCTGTGAACTGTAAATAATAAGCTGGGATTCAACATTATGCATGAATAGAAAACCTAATTTACATCCAACAAACATTTATTCGTCGGCTGATAATGAATGGCTCAAACTCCGGTCTGACCTAGTTGGATGTTGAACCTGATTCAGTCTGATCAAACAACTTACTATATCCTAACGTTGCGGTGAAAGTGATCAACAACACACCACGTGGCTTACCTCTTTGCTCCGCTCTCCAAGTGAGGCCTAAGCTAGCAGATTCACTCGTCTTCTTCCCTCAGCACAGCTGATTCAATGAAATTGGCACTCTCTTACAGTATGTCTCCCCAAACTATCATGTAAGGCACCAAACTGTGACACGCCAGTTGGTACAGGCAAGGGAAAACGAGTGTTCAGGATTGAGGCACGTTGTGTTGGATGACTAATTGACCAGGATTAAGATATATGAAAGCAATTCTCTCTCTCACACACACACACATATATATATATATATATATATATATATATATATATATATATATATATATATATATATATATAATTTTTTTAAAAAATATGTATTAACCTTAAAAGTGGTAGCCATAGGAAGATATTTATGTATATTTTTTCAATGAAAGATTTCATGAAATAATATGATTTGCATATTAATCAGGTATTTTTTTAGAAAAATATCTGTCAAATATATTTTTATAATTTCAATCGATAGGCTAGAACTATTTTCTTCTTGTCTTTTTTATTCCTTCTATTTGATTTCTTATTGTGATTGTCTTATTAGTAAGATTTTCTTCTTTTTTTTTTCTAAAACATGAATCAACTAATAACCTGTGCCTTGGAATAGTGTTATGACTCTCTCCTTGAAAAGCTTCTAAAAACATGTGAAGGCAACATCGAAGCTTTCGACCTATGTATTTCTTCCATTAAGAAAGAAATTCTATAATTATTTTAAATAAATAACATACATAAAAAGAAAATTAAAGAGAAAAAAGGAAGCTACGATTGTGTTTAAGACATGCACGAAAGCTAAAGATAGTCATGGTTCTGTTGCTCAAGCCAACGAGCCCCACGAGATTGTCGTTACAACAATACTTCGGAGGGCAAAACCGTCGCCCTACAAAAAGTCATTCACGTCTTCTTCGCCTAGTGCGATTCTCAATTGGAAGCATTTATGGATTCTTAGATAAAACAGGATGTAGAAAGAACATATAAAGAAATTGTGAGACAACCTTCTACTTTTTCTTTAAGAAATAGTCGATTGAATAAAAGGATAACACGAGGGCAAAGCAAAATGACCATCTTATACCAGTGGCACTGTACCATTATTCCTCATAATGTTTCTAGATTATTGTCCATGTAGCTCAAGCAATAAACAAACGATTTCTTGCAAACCCACTCAACATGCACTAAGTGGTGACAGGATCCACGTGTTTCGAATAATTGATTAGATCGTCGGATTGGAAACTTCAAATGCAAGAACTTCTCATCAAGAAAAGGCCGCTGAGAAAGTTACAAGAAGGTACGGATGATGAACTGAGCTCTGTCGTTCTATGTTCTGGATCAAATGATCTTTTTTCTTTGCATTGGTTAAAGAAAATGTGAGACGGAACTACAAATGGAATACGGTGTAACTGTTGATAATGAGAAAGGAACAAAAGAGCATCGATCGAGAGGGGTGGTGATGATGGGCGGGCAGGAGAGAAAGGTGGGCATCGCAATGACAGCCATCATTGCGAATCTTTTGGGCCTCCCGAGCCCATCATCATGCGAGATGCCCGCGTTAAATCCCCATATCACCCCTTCGCGAACACATCATCGCGTGACGCCATCACCCTCATCCTTGGCTCATTGCAAGCTTAACTCTACCCTTTCTCTGTGCCTCTCTTTGCTTGCCCAAACGCACGCATGATTCTTGTGGCATCTCACCATTATGAGAGAACGGGAGAGTCTCTTTTGGGAAGAGTAAATACAGGAGAGCGAGCGAGAGAGATAGAGGAGGCATTTTCACCACTATAAGTATCCGAGGAAGCCTATCCCGCCCACAACACGCATAGCCGTCTCTTCTTCTCTATCCCACTCTATTCTTTCTCATTCAAGTCTTCCCATCTCTTACCGTCTCAGCCATCAAAAAAGGTGAGCGATATATAATGAGAACCTCATACGATTCTCATCTTGTCGGCTTCCTTTCTTGGGCAAAGAGGGGCACTTTTCAGTTTTCAAGAAGTGAGGGTAATCAAATTGGTGATTGTTATATTTTATTTTGTTAGTCTCAGGCTGTTGATGATTGCCTTTTTGGTTTCGGACCGGGAAGGTTGATGGAATATTGTTCTCAAGGGTGGAATTCTACTTAATTTTGACATAGGGATTCCGCTCTTTGATGACTAGTTTTCAGCGTCAAATCTTGATGTTTCATATGCAGGATCGAGAAGTGCACCCATTCATGGTCTTCCTCTCTTTCTAATTCAGTTTGAGATTGTATAATTTGTTTAGCCTTTAGTCTCTCGTTTGTAGTTCTTTATTCTCCACAGGTTGGGTTATATGCTACTATTTAAAAGCCCCATTTGACTCTCTATGTATTGTTTACAGGGCGCTGCGGTTCCTGCTGGGAAGACATGGAGAGGTTGAATGCAAAGCTCTGCTTGCAGAACTATTACATAATGAAAGAGAACGAGAGGCTGAGAAGGAAGGCACAGCTTCTCAGCCGGGAGAACCAGGCCCTGTTACATGAGCTAAGAGAGAAGCTTTCCAACTCCAATCCCAACTTTACCACCGTCATCAACAGCGCCCCCACAACCAGCGAGGAATCTAATGGGAGCAAGCCTTGATCTAGCAAAAAATCTACCGATAACTTTTTTTTTTTGGGTACTATCCTGTGGTAGCTCAATTATATATGTTTCTTATTTTAAATGATGCAATGGAGACAGATATCCTTAAGCATAACGAATTTGATCATATAAAGATTCTTAAGCTATAAATATACTTACCTTCTCGCCGGTGTCTGATAACTATCTGAAAAAGGCTCGGAATGCTTGAATGCAATATCCACATTGTCTGCCACATATGTACTCTGCACCATATGACCCAAAGGAAGTCAGAGATTGTATTAATAACTGTTATAAAAATGTATAATAAAATATTCGCATGATCCGTCGTACGTACTACAAGAGCTGAAAGACATTATCTGATCTACTTGATCTCTACGATATGAGGTTGTTCGACAGAGATATTTCAAACGAGTGCAAAGTGATGTCCACATTTCACGTTCCCAACTAACCACACCACCCCACTTAAAAAAAAAAGTGGGGGGGTTTGGGGGGGAAGAGAAAACGAAAGAAAGAAGCGTGTACCATGTAATTCGCCTCCAACCAGCAAAAAATGAAGTTTGGCCTAGTTGTGGTGTGACCTGAGACAAATCAAGGCAACAACAGTAGAATTCTACTCGACAGAAAACTTCGTCAGTTTCGTCATGTCGGAGATTTAAAAAGTTGACAATGACGATGATCACAGAAAGATGTCACGGTGAGAGAAAGGAAATCAGGAGACGGAATCCACAGACATCAATTAGACATGAGATTTAGTCTGTCGTACCAAGCAGTTGACAATGGTGGCCAGCACGTCATGTGCTATGATTTCGAAGTCCCATCGGAGGTCCAGTCAAACCGGATTCGCAATGATTATACTCTGAACCCGGAAGTCCGATCTGAATATTTAAGAAAGGAGGTAAAACTAGACTCAAAAACAGCATGAGAAGTTTATTTTGCAGTATCTGTGGTGGTTTCGGACACCTACTGCTGTTGTTTGGCTCTCTGGATGGAGTGCAGTGCTCCCAAACCAGCGCAAAAATGTGAGCGAGGATGAGTTTTAACAAAGAAAACACACTAATAAGCCTGACAGCTAGAATTAGCTCAAGTAATTGGTCACTGCTACAATGAAACGATTTCCATTGATACATCTAGGTTGCAACCCACGTTACATACATGCAGTACTCATGAAGTGATCTATGCTGGGATATGATAAAGCACATCAGTTCTTGACCTTAAATGTGAGTTCCATGTTGAGTTCTAACTACTTGATGACGTACATAATTGTAAGGTGTAAACTGAGTACGATCCCTGAAGAATTAATTATACAGAAATTAACAAATGACCCTTGTGGTGCCCGTGACGCCCAAACTGTCGGCAAAAAGATCAATTGAATGCATATATACATCTATTTGGTAGGAAAGTGGTCGATATAAATGTATCCTAGTGGATGTATTTGATAACCCTTAAAAAAACTTGCTGTTGGCCTTTTTGAATGTAATGTCACAGAAATTTCACAGTGAATTGTGATAAAACTTTAACACAATGAATAAAATGATGACAAACTCATCAGGTTCCACTTTGTAGACATTCATCTTAGCTCTATTAAAAGCAATGCAGTGAAACAGTTCATCTTCAACCAAGGATTTCTTAATGCTTTTAACCAGTTTTTCCAATTTTCTACTTTATCTTTCTTTTCCTTACTGCATTTGCATTTCTTGAACTCATCTCGCTGGCATGGCTAAAATCTTATTTGCATATGTAAAAGAAATTTTGAGTGGAATTTTTCTCATTCTGCTTTGGTGCCTACTTTTTAACTCACAATTATTCAGTAATTTCTTGTTCTAATTTTCTGCCACTACCAGTCTTTCTCATTCAATCGCACTACATGTTTGGACACGTCACTTCCTAAATGGCACTAGTAAATCTGTACCTATTTATTATAAGTCAATCCGTTATTCTCATCTAATTCTTTGTGTATACATGAAATGGAACAGCATTGATGAGACCTACACCTAAAACATGTCAAATATCAACTAATAAACATCAGATAAGTTTGAACAGGAGCTAAGACATGTGTCACAGGCAGCTGAATCATGATATCATGGTTTTTTTTTAATTTTCTAACTACAAGTTGCAATTTGGATGTTGGCGGGTGTGGAATTGAATCAGATGCACAAATGATGTAGAACACATTAAAGATAAAATTCTGATTCTTAATTGAAAAAATTACAAACAAATGGAATGGAGCAGAACTTCATACAACAAAAATAATGCCTTAAGAGAAGCACACCTGAGTATCAAGATCTAGCGGATACCAAGTCAGTGGTTCAAAAACCAATCCCAAGAAAGTATAGGGCCAATGGTTGATCATTGAGTAAAGATTCTTAGATCGATTATATAGGCCAGTGTAGTTTGCAAGACATCCATCAACGAAAAAGACTAGCACACTCAGAAGTACACACAAACATACATACATACATACATACATAGTATGGAAGTACATCATGAAATGTACAAGCGAAAGAGAATTAAAACTGACATAATTCTAGTTTTGTTTAGGAAATCTTTTCTCTATGGCATCTTGGCTTGTTATGATCAGTCCAGTATTAATGTAAAGACTTTTGTGGGGTTTTTTTCTTGCTAGTGACATTGCTAGGCTAATAATGGAATGATCATAACAAGACAAAACCCCCTAGAGACAGATTTCCTAAACAATAACTTAAAGCATCTCAATTACCATTGGTGCTCATAGAAGCACATAGTATTCTATGTATGAGTGTGTGACTGATAAAAATAAGGCGAAGATTCTAAATCCATAATCGACTTCATTATCATAATATAAATAGAAACATTTTTCTTTCCAATAATAGTCAAGGCATTTCCCTTGTAGTTCCCTCGTTTTAGTTTTAGCTGCACCATCAACCTATTTGGATAGAATTAAATTATGACCAACCAGCAAAATTACCATAACAGAAATCTATAATGTTTTTAGAAACATGGACATTACAAAGTGACATATGTTCTGAACACAATATACATTACAGAGTACTAACATTTCTAAGTGACTGAGAGATCACCGTGTAGGACCTACTATACCTGTGAACCACTATTATAGGGTCTTATCAATGGTACGGCTTATGGCAGAAATTTAGCAGGTGAAGGAGGCATCCATTAATGTCATTTTAAAGATGTCTTGAACTTGAAAGGTTTACTTCCAGGCAACAAAATGGTATAGCACACTGAAAATTCCATAGATAGTAGCAGGTCAGGATTTTTTTGGTACCTAGGTGTACGGCTCACTTAAACTGAATGCATGTACCCTTCGATCAAGTATGGGATCGATTTGGGTATGAAAGTGCACTCAGCATAGTTACTAAGCTGGGCTAGGTTTTAGGTTTTAATGCCTAATAGTTAGCTAACCCAACTCGGGCACCCTACCCTTCATGATTCCTATGTGACTTGAGATGCAGAAGGCAAAATCTTCAGAAATTTAGTTCTATATGATCCAATTAAACTGGGTTCGCAGGAAACTAGATACCATAAGTTGGTCTGAATTTGGCTACGTAGATAACTAGTAAGCTTGGAATTGGATTCACATCAAATTTGCTGGTACCCAATTGTGGTCATCTCTACTTGACTCCATTGCCCACTAGCTATAGACAACTAACTTGTGATACATTGTCAAGTCTTAAATTCAATGCATTTAACAAAAAAAACCATTTGAATAAAAGAAATTCTACTCTAGCAAGTACTCAATGAGTCAATTCATAGTCTCATGGGCGATACCTGAACTTCAAGTTATGAACATTTGATACTTCTTCAAAAAGAAATGCAGTGAAAGAATTCATGGCGTCATGCTGATTCGCACTTTGCTTGATCATGAGTCCATTTTGTAGTAGTTCTAGTCTGTTAGTGTTCTTCATGTTTGTTGGGAAAGTCTGCAAACACTGAGAAGCAAACACATAATCAAACAAAAGATCTGGTCATATGAAGGCTATTGAAACTTATTGTAAAACAAGTTTTCCATGTCAACATTTTTCCTAACCAAAATAACAAGTCTCAAAAACAGCTTTGATTTCTTTTATCATGTTCCAAAATTATGCAGAGTATTTAAATAAGTAATAAACATCTTATCAACTGGTGAACATACAAGTGTTCTCTCATTTTTCAGTTTGGTACAGCAGCTGTTCTTCATGGGGTCTCTACGAACTAAATAAGTAATTGTTCTACCATAAGCATTTCATAACCAAAGTCCATGGTCTTCTACTTTGTCAAGAACACAAATGGGTAAATTTTATATACTAATACATCAACCTCATCTCTTCTTGTCGTTATTATATTTAAGTTCATAATAGCACACCTTCAGACCTACTCTCCCAATACTGTATTTATAAAGCTTTTACACCATTCATCGCTGCAATCTACATGTTCATTTATTGATTTGCAAATTAGTGTCTGTTTGATACCCACTAAAAATTGGAAAGCATTTGGAACCAAGCATGCAACTCAAGATTCTTATAGATAAGATGGAGGAGTTAATGAGCTCTAGATTGCCCATAGCACTAGTAACGAAAGCATATCGATAGTACAGAAACATGACTGTGCATCCATGTATATAAGGGATATATCTAGATATGCAACAATCGATTAGTGTCTCATGCTATGCGGTTCTGAGAGCTACATCCCATCAGATAATACCACAGTCAAACCTCATCCCAAATGTGCCCAGCGCCGGTTGCATTTTGGCCAAATTCCGCTCTCAAACTTGTCACATAAGCATTTGAATAGTAAGCAGCAACTCACTTCTCTCCAAACGCAAAAACAGTCAGAGAAGCCATATTCGGATCCAAATGTCTCGTCATCGTTAAATAGATGGAAACCGGATGCCATCGGCCTGCCTTCTTAGCTTCATATCAATTTCTTTCCAGAAGAAAATCAACATCCGATGGGAAGCATCGAATAATTCACAAAAGAAGCCGAAGATGGAAAAGTATCGAACAGTTAATCGGCGCGTGGAACTGGGTCCAAGATCCAATAACGTAATCCAGTATATCGTCACCGATTATCGAAATGGCGGCCTCTATCGTCATTGTATCGCTCCGAGTCAGCAAGAAAACGATCCCAGGGAGAGAAGGGAGGAGTTGAGAGAGGAACTCACCTACGTCGGGGGTTTCAGAATCAAAGCAGAGGAGGCGATGACCGACGGAGAAGCGGGATCTGGGCCGGTGCCGCCAGGAGGAGACGTGGGAGCTTGTTGAGGAGAGGGGTGGGGAGACGACTGGTTGAGGCGGAGATGGAAACGACTCCAAAAGCCATCTTCGCTTATTGATATAGCGATCGGCAGAGAGCGAAAGGAGGGTTAAAATCGTTAGGAATTCAAAATAAGTGGCGCCATTTAATTTCGGTCCGTTTGGCTCGCATCAGAACCGTTGACGCAAAGACATTTGACGCGGTAGATGGTGCACACGTGGCAACCAAGGCGGAGTTATCGTCAGTCCGAACCCAACACCACACACGGGCTGCACCAGACCACGTCCGTAGTCCATCACCCTTCCCGGATGGCTTGATTTCTACTGCCCGACATGGTCTTCGAAACATGCACGTAAGCGTCCGCTCGACACATGTCAGGAAAACTCATCAACGTAAAACATTGATCTGCTTGTCAAAGAAAACTGATCTGAAGATGATGTTGCAATGTGTATAGTGATATGATCGCTGGTTTCAGAATCTGCTGAGTTCAGTTCTGAACAAGATGGATCAGTTCGCTTGCAGCAGCATGGAGCAGAGTAAGTGATGGTGCCAGTTATTCTGACATGTTGCTCTGGGTTTGCCATGGGCCAACCGTGCTCGATGGCATATGGCATGAGCAATGATATTACAGAAGCTCTCCTGCTTGGAGACGGGTAGCTCCTTCTACCATCTGTTTCTTTCTTCTTCTGTTTCCCTCAAGTCTGAAGACAGACTGGAGAATAGGATCGAGCCTCGCAAAAGTGGAATCATGCACACTTTGTGATCCATAGAGCACCCGTGGCAAACACAATCAACAACAAGGAGACATCTCCATGCGATGCAATGATGGGAGGAGCAAAAGCGAAGCAGTCCCGCGAGTCATGGCATCTCATCTGCCAAGTCAGGAATCGAACAGAGCTATATATACTCCTCCATGCGTTCGACAAACTCAAGTTTGAGGAGCTCGAAATGGCCACAAGACCAGCTCTCAGGCTTTCTTACTTACCCTTCTTTAGCTTCATCGTCCTCCCCATTGTCTTCCAAAGACTCTGCATGGTGCCTTGCATGGGCATATTAGACGTCGACTCGTTTGAGTGGCGCGAAGAGAAAGAAGATGACGTTAATGAGGTTCAAAGCCACCAGGGATCATCACCCAGAGACTGCAACTTGTCCGTAGGAGAGTGGGTTTTCGATCCATCGTACCCTCTGTATGCACCAGGCTGCCCCTACCTCAGTACGCAAGTTAGCTGCAGGAGGAACGGGAGGCCAGACTCTGACTACGAGCGGTGGAGGTGGAAGCCAAAGCAATGCTCAATTCCAAGGTAAAAGAGGTGACTGCTGCTGAAACAAATGGAATCGTGCTTACGAATTTACTTGCAGGTTCGATGCGTTGGACTTTCTCGGAAGGATCAGGAAAAAGAGGGTGATGCTGGTGGGAGACTCCATAATCAGGAACCAGTGGGAGTCTCTTGTTTGCTTGGTGGAAGCAGTGATCCCCAGCGAGTTGAAGACGGTCTCCTCCAATGGCCCTTCCATCGCTTTCCATGCCATGGTAACAAGACACCGCATGCCAAACCTTTTTCTGGAAACACAGCTAAACGCCGACGAACTTTGCAGGGCTACGAGGCTTCAATCGAGTTCTCCTGGGCTCCCCTTCTTGTCGAGCTGAAGGAAGAAGCAGAGAACAGGAGAGTGTTGCGCTTGGACTCCATTGAAGAGAACGCCAAGTACTGGCTCGGAGTTGACGTGCTCGTGTTCGATTCAGCTCACTGGTGGACTCACTCCGGCAAATGGAGCTCGTAATTCTTCTTCCTCCTACGGTACTCCAATTCACGCTCCCGTGTTCGACGAATGGAAACTGAGATCGTATGCATTTCGCAGGTGGGACTACTTCCAGGAAGGAGCGAGGCTGTTCACCAATCTGAACCCCATGGTCGCCTACGAGAAGGGGCTGACGACATGGGCTAAATGGGTGGACTTGAACTTAGATCCCCGGCGAACTCGAGTCGTTTTCCGAAGCGTCTCACCTCGGCACAACAGGTAGGGAAACGGTGACTCTTCTCTTCTCTATAGATCCATTCACGGCTTGGCTGTTTTGCCAGGGAGAACGGCTGGCAATGCTACAAGCAGAAGGAGCCGCTAGTCTTCCTGGGCTACTCGCCGCGCGTTCCGGGGCAATTGGTGGTGCTGAGGGAGGTGCTGAAGAAGATGAGCTTCCCGGTGTACCTTATGGACGTGACCAGCATGTCAGCTCTGCGTCGAGATGGGCACCCCTCCATCTACGCCGAGGAGGGGCGGGACAGAGAAGGCCCTGCCTCGGATTGCAGCCACTGGTGCTTGCCTGGAGTGCCTGATGCCTGGAACGAAATGCTCTATGCTCTTCTGTAGATGCGTGCCCCGAGTGCTTCTGCAGATTCTAGGAGAAGAGCTTCTGTAAATTAAGGTCTGTCTCGAGCTTCGACCATGAAGCAATGGAGACAGTAGCGGTGTGCGGTGGGTGGTCACTACGTAGTGCTTTTCCTGTTGCTGCATGCAAGCTAGTATTAAAATAAGATATTAATATGTTAAATAATTTATTACCGTTCTGCTATTTCTCTTTGTTTGGTTGAAGAGCTTAGATAATTAAGTCTAATACATATGAAGTAATTGATTGACACGAGTAACGCAATCAATCCATTTGCTAGATCCAGATCATGTGACAGTCAGGTTTTGCACGCATCTCAATGTATGATGAACACGAATCATGATACCACATCGTGGAATGGGAGTACTGTACGATGTGGCCTTATACGGTGTCACCAAATTCTTAGGAGGTGTTTAGTTGAACCATAATCTTTGTTGTCGATAATTTGATGAATATTATTTAAACTATCACTTAAGTGCGAATGCTTAAGTGAAATTAGATTAAAAAAAATTCAATTCTAATGCTTTTGTAGCTCAATTCTAACACCGGGATTATCTTAAATTAAATATTAAGAGTAAAAAAATTCTCTAATATCATATAAAATAAAATTAATACTATGGATGATGCATGACACGGGATCGATGATCAAAATCTTTGTTGTCGATACTTTGATGAATATTATTTAAACTATCACTTAAGTGCGAATGCTTAAGTGAAATTAGATTAAAAAAAATTCAATTCTAATGCTTTTGTAGCTCAATTCTAACACCGGGATTATCTTAAATTAAATACTAAGAGTAAAAAAATTCTCTAATATCATATAAAATAAAATTAATACTATGGATGATGCATGACACGGGATCGATGATCAAACACCTTAATATCATATCGATAATATTTGATCGATATATGAATAGATTGAGACCACCTAGATAATATATGATCGATATCTCGACGTCATATAAGTGACGAACATAACATCGTAGGGATGATATATGTTTAATAAATTAATATTTTAATATCATATGGACCATGTGCATGATATATTAGCTCGTCTCTCATTTGACTTCATGATTGACGCCTTAGAGTCATGACCAAGTTAGGTCATTTGATGCACCGTGACACTATACTCATTTAAAAGCTCGAGAGCAACACATGACTATTGATGACTATAAAAGGGCCTTCCAGACTTAATTTTTTAAGAGTTTATTAAAATCATATAAATAAAAAATTATTTTAATCAACGGAGAAATATTGATCGACAATACCTTGCTTATAGATTTGACACATTTATATTGAGACCCACATTAAATAGACCTCATTAAGTTCTAAAACTATTTTTAACTAGAAAAAAAATTACATTAAAAACACTCAAAACATACTTCGATACAAAATAAGGATCAAACTTTAACCTTGATATGACCAACGACTATCATACGACCCCCCATTGGTATATATCCGAATTTTGATTGGATTTGTAACGTAGCATTATACGCCAGAATATATTTGTACTACATTAATTTAGTTGTTGATGATGATTGGTGTAATAATATGTCAAAAGCTCTTAAAAGCTTTAATATTACACAATGTTGTTGTTATGCGCGTGAAGTAAGTGCAAGCCAAAGTACATAATTTGATATCCATTCGAACAATCCAATATCTAATGTTTTTGGTGCTTCAAAACCAACATAAAGAACTTCGAGCTCTCAATCTTTCATAGTTGGATCATTTCTACTTTGTTTACTGTTATTTGCTGCTTCTAATACTACACCATACAACGCTAAAAGTTGGTCAACCCTCTAAACGCCACCAGCTTTGACCTCGATGCCGACGGTCTGTCAGCTATGTTCCAACGCTCGTAGAATTAGATTCAAGCTGAGGCTGTGAACTCGAGTCAGGAAGAATAGAGTTTGGGTTTCTCAGTCTTCGATGGTTAGAAACATGAATTTTAACGTGTCTCATATCGATATTGCTTTTTATAATCTCAATACCACATCCATATTCTTAATAATAAGACGAGGTAAATTACCACAGTACCACACTTGATGCTGGTCAACGCAAGTCAACCCTCTAATAATCCCATGGTCGACTGCGTGTCGTGCCATGTAACGAATCCTGGCCATTCTCGCGAGGTGCGGTCCACTTAAAACCCTCCAACAAAAGCATCAAGATTCACGATCCCCAAAATCCTCATCCTAAATATCTGATGGAATCGTCCTTTATTTTACTCATTATGCCGTCGTCTCTCTTCTCCATTTTTATATGTACTTTATCATAATTAACAATAATAATAATAATAATTAATATTATTATATCTTTTTATTAGACATAGGAGTCGACCCCCTTTTTCTATTGGAAGTTTCCGTCCCGTGCCCTCGATCGTAGACATCGACGTCTCGCCCAATTCCGCTCCGACCGCATCGGATCGCAGACGCCGGCAGCCGACCCTACCCCGCCGCCGGATAGGGGCTGCAATTGCCGGAATAACCGGGGATCCCCAAGGATTGGATCGCGGGCTCGGCCGCGAATTAGGGTTCTTCTTTGCCCCTTTGACGCCTTTCTTGGCCCGGTTTGGATTCTTAAGCTTCCGATTCGCTTCGATTCGAGTTTTTCCTGCTTATCTCGTGTTTGTGCGCTGGGGCCTGAGCTTCCGAATCGATCAATCAGCTTGTCGACTTCGTCTCTTTGCTTCGAAATCCTTGCCCAAGTTGCTGGGTTGATTACTGTCTCTCGTTAGGGTTCGTTTTGGTCGCTGAGACTTCTGTAGTCATCCTCGGTTAGTTTGTAGCTCTGGTCAAGTTATTTGGTCTCCCTTTTTCTCTGTATCGAGTTGCGGGTGTGGGGTTTCAGTTCAGTTTTCTTTATGGTGGAGTTTTCCTGTCATAAAGAGTCAGGTAAATCTACTCATCCTTCCGTGTTACCTCCATTTGTTGGCATCCCCTAACTTAATCCATGCTAGTGCAATTCTGTGTCGCTTGCCACTTATTTTCTTGCACGAGAAGCATCGATCAGGGTTCTCCTTTTGAAAAGGAGAAAAATAAATAAACCTCTAAACCTGTGAAATGCCAAACATTTACCGACTTCAGATTGGGGGTTGTAAATAAGTCATAATAGTAGGCACCTGAGGTTATAGAATTTGTATGCATTGTATGATTATAGGGATTTTAGGGATGGGCAAGAAGAACAGGATGTGCATTAATAGGGACAAGATGCGGGTGTGAGCTTTCACGATTGGTTAAGGATGAAAATGGCAGGAAGTATGAGAGCAGAGTCGGCTGCCAGTAGTCTGGATGGACCAAAATTTTCTGCTGCCTATCACAATGGGCAGCGTGGGGCCTTCTCAGGCTCTGGTTTGGAGAGGTCCGGAAGCTTCCGTGAGAGTTCAGAGAACCGAATTATGGTTACTGGTCCTGGTACATCAAGAAACACAACCTTATCGTCAGAATTGCCTTCTTTGTCACAGTATCTGTCACTTGAGCCATTTTCAATGGGTGAGCAAAAGTATTCTCGCACTGGAGAGTTAAGAAGGGTTCTTGGTGTTACAGTCGAAGAGCACCCATTTGGATCTGTGCAGTCTAAGGCACTCCCTCCCATCGCATCAGAGGACCTTAAATGTTTCAAAGCCAGCATATCCGAGTCATCCTCCAGAGCAAGGTACTCTATTTGTACATCTTCATCTGTTACCTGTCAGCTGTGGCCATTTGACTGCATGTACTCTTTAAAGAACATTTTGACTATAAACATATAACTAAGTTCTAATAATACAATCTCTTTGGACTGTTTTAGGCATTTACTAACTTAGAATCGGCATAAAATCACTCAACGTCCTTAACTGTTCGACCCTAAGCATGGCATTCCTTGGTCATGCTGGATAAGTGTGAAAAGTTGTTCATGCAACGAAGCATAATTACATTCAGCTAAGAAAGGCAGTAGAATAATTGTGGTTCTCTGCTGAAGGACTTCTCTTTTACCAGGGATAGAACAAAGCTGTTGCACGAATCAATTCTGAAATTGGATAAATATCGCAACTTGATCTCGAGGAAACGACAAAGAATTGATCAATCAAACGAGAAGTCAGGTACCTCAAATCCGTTGAAGATGGTAAGTCAGACTCATCAAAACCCTGCAGAGCTCACAAGTCCGAGACTGGAGGACAGATCAAAGAATGTCGTTCCTAATAAGCGTATTCGCTCCTCTATGGCGGAAGTACGGGTTTGTATTTCTTCTCAAGGTGTTATATTGAGAACTGAGGAACTTTGTCTCTTCTTGTTGATGCTTCTGTGCCTTTGTAGATGGTTTTGAATGTTTTTAACATGTTAGTAACGAGTAGCTAAGTATCTTTAATAGCCATTAATTATTCTTTCTCCGGAAACGTGTGCGTGTTATGAAAACTAAAATTTTATTTTATTTATTGGCATCTGATAAGTATCTGTTATCACTCTGATAATATGCTTGTTTGATGTACTGCTAGGAAGAAATATGTTGATTACTTGTTTTGTGTTTCTTCTGTTTGTTGAAACTTATAAGGTGAGTTGTTCTTAGATAATTTGAAATGATATGTTTTTTTTTTTCCTACATCAGTCAGAAGGTCGTGGTACTTTTCCGCTGCGACAGGGTGCAGTTATGGACAAGGATAGAAATGTGCTTTTTGACAAAGATAAAGGTATGCTTAGGAGTTGTAATGGGGGATCGATACCTTCAGAAGACAAGATGTGTGGACTCCCTCCAGGGGCTGATGGGTGGGAGAAAAAACTGAAAAGAAAACGTTCTGTTGGCCTTAACAGAGGAACTGAAGGTGATAGAGAGATTAAACAGTCAATTCAACAGCGGTCCAATAATGAATCCCGTCTACGTTCTTCTGATGGCATTGGATTCAGGTGATTATCGTAGAGGTTGCACTATAATTATGTCTTGTTATTTCTTTAACAAGCTTAGCATCCTCGCTTGAATAACTTGAGATAAGAAGGTCTAGTACCCTTCGTCCTGGTTGCTTTGGAACTTTTAACTGCTCCTAAAAATATTGCACATGTAATCTTAATCTCTTTATGATACAAAATATAACTACTGCTAGTTTCCAATCTGAGTTCCTTAGAATTCAAGACTACAATGGAGTAGTCATTATTTTTTTCCAATCTGGGGCACTTTATTTTTTTTCCTGCCTCAATCATTATTCAATTTTGATGTAACTGCCTACTAATTATACTAAATTTATATGCCATTTTTATTCAAAAGAAAATCAGATAGAGTTTCTAACTGATTCATTGTTTTCTCGAGGAAACCTACTATCTTCTTATGGCATATGTACTGTCAGTGTAGGATTTAATTATAGGTCATTGTTGGCCTAAGGTCCATGATACTAGTTCTGAATTTGGGTAGTTTACCAGATTTGCGATTTTAAGTTAATTTTAAGGAATGTCCATTTGTAACATGAGATGTACAAGAATTTTTTTTCAGTGTCTGACTATTCTGGGTTATAAAGAGCATGCACAATGAAAGGAGCATGTTTGGCAGTAAAAATAACAAGGTATCAAATTAAGTAACTTTACTAGGAGAATTTCGAATAACAAAGAACTAAGACAAACTTTTTGCCAAACACAATTACAGTTGAGGTTGCATTTTTTTTAAAAAAATTCAATATATATTTTCTATACTTGATATTTAAATCTTTAAATATTGATAGTTGTTATTGTGATATTTAGGCTTCTTAGGAGTTGAGGAAACATTTGATTGATTAAAGATAAAAAAATCAGAAATTGGGATTTCTTGCTGCTTGTGAGTTTTTTTCTTTGTTTCACGAATTTGTAAAATTGAGAAAAAAAAATAAAGATAGTACTTTGATATCAGTTCTTTAGATAAATGTTAAATCAATATTTTCCTGCTGGTGTGGTTGTCTTTTTTTATAGCTACTCATTTTTTTTTCCTTTCTTTATAAATTTAGAGAAGTTTTTCTAACATTTTTGTGAATTTCATTTTACAGACCTGGATTATCTAGTGGAACCACAGTAAGCAACAAGATGGATAGCAGTCCCCAACTTAGTGGTGCTAACTCTCGTAGCACACCCAAGAATGACTTGGATAGTGGGTCTAATACTAATGAAAGACGAGAACACTCTGGTGGACTGGATAATGAGCGAATTGTACCTAAAGGAAGCAATAAGTATGCCTTATATTGCTTTCGTATGAGATATAACTTGTGTCTCTCTACTTGCAGTTTATATTATTACACTTCTGCTTTTGTTTTCTTTAATTTTTTTGTTAATTTTATTGGTAAACATGATGATTGATCGTTACTTCATTTGAAGTTGTATCAATATAAGTTCATGAGAGGGTTATTATCTGTTTATTGTTATTGTTGTGTACCATGCTGCTACATGTAAGCTCTACGTACATAATAATGTTTGCTGACCACTTTTTAAGCTTTTGGTGTCTTGAAGAAGTCTGTGGTTCTTTGTTTCTCTATTGTTTTTTTTTTTCCGTATGAGCTCTCTACATTTTTACTTAAATATTCGGCAAATATGACTTTGATCTACCTTGATACCAGGTTAAGTACACGTGAAGATGTTCAAGCTGGAAATCAAAGTCCTCTTATAAAGGGAAAAGCATCTAGGGCATCTAGAATTGGCTCAGGTGCTGCCATGAATGCATCTTCAAATTTTCTTCGCTCATCTGGCAACACCGATGGATGGGATCAGGCCCCTTGCATAAACAAAGTTCAGCCTTTAACTTCATCCAATCGTAAACGTCCAATATCTAATGAATCATCGTCACCCTCTGTAACTCAGTGGGTGGGACAGCGGCCACAAAAGATCTCTAGGACCAGAAGGGTGAATGTAGTTTCTCCTGTCTCGAATTTGGACGAATCTCAGTTTTTGCAGGAAGGATTTATTACTCCTGATGTTGGAACCAGATTGGCAACTATGGATACCAGTGGGCTTTTAGTTTCCAGGGGAATGCCCAGTAACACTCATCAAACAAAACTGAAACTCGACATTGTCCTCTCTCCTGCTGTATTATCAGAAAGTGAGGAGTCAGCAGCTGTTGAAAACAAGTTTAAAGACAAAGGAGTTGATAATTTTGAGGTAGAGAATGCTGCCCAAACAACACTGAAGGCAACAACTTTTTTATTGTCAACGAAGAAGAACAAGACTCCTCCAAAAGAGGAAATTGGAGATGGAGTTCGGAGGCAAGGCAGGAGTGGAAGAGGCTCAGTACAGGCAAAAACTCGGTTACCTGTACCGAAGGAAAAAATGGAAAATATAGATCCTACTAAGCCACTCAAAAATGGAAAGCTTGGTTCCGAAAGGAGTGAAAGGTTCCAGACTTTCTCGATTTGTAATGGAATTAAAAATATTTCTCTTGCTTTCTATTCCTGAAATGCATTATGATTACTGAAGTGAACTATTATTTGGTACAGCAGGATAGGTCGTCCTCCTTCGAAGAAGATGTCTGACCGGAAGGCTTGTGCTCGTCCACAAGTTTTGAGCAGTGGTTCCTTGGAATTGACAGGTTCTATATATTACAGTCATTTAATGGCTCATAGATTACCTTTTCTTTCTTTTTCTACATCTATAGTGGGCATCTTATAGGAATGTTTTTTTCTAGGTGAATCAGATGATGATCGGGAAGAATTACTAGCCGCTGCAAATGCTGCTCGTAATGCTAGCTGTGGGTTCCATCTTAAACATATTTGCTTCCACAGATGAGCCTTTTACTCTTTGGATCACTTGTAATATTTGTCATCCTTTGCAGATCACGCTTGTTCCAGCACTTTTTGGAAGAAAATGGAACCTATTTTCGCCTTTGTGACATTGGAGGAAATATCTTATGTAAAACATCAGGTTTATGTTTATATTGCTACATTCGCATTTGATAACGATATTTTCTGTTGATCATATGCTGATAAATTTTACTCTTCATTGGACCTAACTTTGTATCAGATTCATTTTGCTGAGGAGCTAGATGCAAGTTTGCCTAATTGGTTTGAAGCTAGTCATGATGTAATGGTACTAGCCACTTCCAAACTTCTGCATATTAAGTTCATCACATTTCATTTCTGGAAGAAAATATGGACTTCTACTTGTTTGTGCCTTTTTTTCTGGGACCTTAGAACTTATAGGGATTCCCAAATATGAATATAGTTTCTTTCTTTTATATGTCATTCATTTCTACAAATTATATATTGCAGTTCTAAATGGATAACATTTTGTTTTCAATGGTCTATGTAGGCACCTGATTAAAATCATTATCTTTCTTTTCAGAGTGAGGTTGTTGCTGATGTGGTGCCTTCGCCTTACTCTTCTTTTGCTAGAGAGCAAACCAATGCAGTTGGACCGACCAACAAATCTTTTGGGACCCCCTGTTCAATTGATGGGACACAACATGTCAAAACATCTGTTGGAAGATTAGACACCAAGAGATGGTATGACAAAATGGTACCACTGTCACAAAGGCTTCTCTCTGCCTTTATTGTAGAAGATGAAACTGAAAATCTTGACAATGACACTCAAGGAGAGACATTCTTACAGTTCTCAAGTGATTATGTTCATTATGATACTAAAGATCATGTCATTGATCAGGCTGAAGATTTGAACATGGATTATGACTTGGAGTCTGAGTACAGGAATCATAAAAATAGTTTGGGAGATGGATTTATGCCCTCCAACAACTTTAGGCATTTCAGTGACGAACCATTGGCAGAAAATAGTGCTATTCTAAATGCAGATAATGGTTCTTTTTCTCGTTACCAGCAAAATAGTCGTAATCAGATGCATATAATGTACAGCACTTCACCCTATGAATGTCAGTTCGAGGACATGCCTCTTGATGAAAGGATTTTGATGGAGCTGCACAGTATAGGCCTATTTCCAGAAACAGTGGTATGCATATTTCAGTTTGTACATTTGTTTAAGTTAGTTCTATCTCGAAGACATAAATTCTTGTGCACTGTAGCTGAATATTGACATTTAAGTTTCTGTTTGCTAGTAATATATTAGTATGTATTGAAATTGTCATGTCCTAGTTGGATAAACTCCCTTGTTTTTGTTCAAATCAGTTGTGTACCTTGTGTTAGTGTGTCTTTTCAACAAACTACTTGTCAATGTTGGAAACACATTACTGCATGAAGTACCTTGCAAGTTGCAACTTCAGAAAATAAAAGCTCTTGCTAGTGACACTAAACCTAGTATGGTAGTGGCCAACAAAAAGTTGTAATGTAATGCCTTATTCAGAGGGTTAGTGTATGGTTTTACTATACTCAAATCCCTGACTGAAGTTATATTTAAATTTAAGAATATATCTAATTCAAGTGCTTAAATATTTTGGAGGTACTCCAGGTATTGATAGCGTCCGTCTTATGCAAAGAATAATCATTAAGAGCCACCATTGTCTAATGGGAGCAAGTATTCTCCGCTCATATATACATATATATATATATATATATATATATATATATATATATATATATTTGTGAAAAAAGAGTTACCAAGACAACTTACATTAGCTTTCCACTGAACTGTCCCACAACATTAGCATGACACATTGAGCAATTTATTAGCCAACCCAGAAGGTCCCTCAAAAACATGATCTCTTGCTGCACTCGAGCTAAGATAGCCAAAAGATCAGCTGGGCCATTGGCCTGCTTATACACATACTTAATAACATCTTTCTCAAAATAGATTAGCAGGTTCTTAATATTATGCACAAATGTAAATATTCTCCAAGGAATAGCTTATTTTTTCCTCCAAAACTTTAGCTGAAAGAGAGAATTCATTTCCTGGATCACTGTTTTAAGCCCTGATCTTGGGATTTCTTTGGCATCTTCAAGCGTCGCCTCAGCCTCAACATATAAAGAAGAATTAGCCAAAGACACTTTCTTCCTGCAAAAACAACATAAAACGTTAGTGATGATAGTATATTGAGACCCCCATATCACCATCAGGGTGATGAAACCATTGAAATTGACCTTGACCCACCCAGCTGTGGAGGTCCCTATCCAACTCGAGTAGGCTGCAGAGTTGGTTCCATAGGTAGCAAGCTAGGCAATATATTCTTTGATAAGAAGGCAATGACCGACAAGTTTCACAGGAGTTTTCAAATAGCATACCAAGTGTGTACCTGACCAAATTTCACAGAGATTCTGAAGATGGGTCTTGCTTCATTTACAAATTTTCTGCTATCTTTTCTAAGCTGTATATTAATTAACATAATTATTGTCAATAACAATGGCCTAAGTTTCTATTTTTTTACAGTTTAGAATTTTCCCTTATATCCTTTTCAGGAAAAAGGTGAAGGAATACAATTGATATATATCCTTGCTCAGCCTTTGGGCGTTTACATTTTTTGTATGATTGTTCTTTGAAACTGTAACAGTTAAATTGCATCTTACCTTAATCTGCAAATTTTTGTACAGCCTGATCTTGCCGAGGGTGAAGATGGAGAAATTGACAAAGTCATTTCAGAACTCAAGATGAGGCTGTACCAGCAGGTTATATGTTTGTAATGTTTCCTGTTGATACACGTCTCATAAGTGTTAATGTAGATACATAACACAGCTCTTGTTAAGCTTTTAGTGCTGCAATATTATATAAGCTCGTATAATTTGCCACTTCTGCGGCATGAATAGATTAGCAGTTCTCCGAGGAAAGTTCTATTTTGACATAGTCATTGCATGAATCAATATGTAACGCCATCTATTGTAGGAAAAACTCTTATGGTAAGAGATTGCCATTGAAGGTCAATAGCATCATTAGAATCTAACGATGGATGAGCTTCCGGTTTTTCTAAGTGTTCTGGGGGAACGTCCAGACCTCTTTGTGATCTTATGTTCTGTTTTATTGGCAGTTGTGCTAACATTAAGCTGTTTTAATAGGTGAGGCAAAAGAAAAATCAGTTAGTAAAATTAGAGAAAGCAATTCAGGATGCAAAAGAAACTGAAGAGAGGTATGGGTTTTGATATTCTGTATTGATTTCATTGGTTACAAGTATTTCATTGTCTATTATGGCTAAAGCTTTTTTCAATTATTCAAGTGACAGGAAACTAGAGCAGTTTGCGGTAAACAAACTTATTGAGATGGCATACAAAAAGTTGATGGTAATTTTAGAACCCGTTTCACTAGCAGTCTGATAGTGTGTTTTTGCTGAGGATTTCTCTGCTTGCATATCTTGATGCAAGTTGCTCTTTCCATCTTTGCCATCTGATCCTGATATGAACCTAAGTCAATAGAGCCTGGTTAAGGCTTAGCAATTGATTCATCACCATGTTTCCATTTGCATTTTCCTTTGCTATTTCAAGGAAATTTCTCTCAATCTTTTATTAAATACGATATGATCATGGATACCTTCTATTGCTTGTTTAATCTTGGGGAGTAATTTATTGTTTCTTTTAAGTTTCTGTACTTAGCATGATTATATTAAGCTCTTCTGCTTATTTTTCTTGTCTTTTTGTGCTAATTTTTGTGTTCATGAATCTTAAGTTGTCCATGTCAAGTCATATTGTTATGTTCTCTTATCTTTAAATGGTTTATCAAGTACTTGAGGCTCTCACCAATGTAAGGTTTTGACAAGGATCAATGTATGCAACCTTAGTCCTATAAATAGAGAGGTTATTTCTAGGACTCGAACCTGATTGTTTCCGTGACTTGAACGTTGATTGTTTCTGTAACCTGAACTCTGACCACCCAATTTGCAAAAGAAGCAACCTTTGGAGCTTAAATTCAAACCCTTTTTGTTTGCTTCTTGGATAATCACCTCTTGTATCCATGATCATATTTTGTTTGTAGTTAGATTTTTGTTCTCTGCCGATGCTTGTGATCTAGCATTAGAGTTAGTCTGTGCCTTTGTGTACCATTTTACTTGTTCTATGTCCTGGAAAATAATTAACTTTTAGCTTGAAAATGATCTGTGGCTTGGGGGTAGAGTATCACTTTCAAATTACAATTAAATTTTAGTAGTCATCCACATCATTATTACAATAATTTGAACCTTATTACACAATAATTTGAACCTTGTCACTTGATTCGTCTTTGTCCAATAATTGTATTAATAAGAAAAAAATATTGGATTCAATGACAGTTCTCAAGGATTAGTTACACTTGAGTGAGATGAGGTAGAAGAATTAAATTGTGTAGGTTCTTAACCCTCAATCTAGGTGTGGAGCATCTTTATACAATTAAGTCAATGTACAAATGTGGTATTAATTTCCTATTTCTAAAGATATGCATGATTATATTTCTGTTTTACTAGCCGAGCAGATTATGAAATATTATCCTTATTTGGGCATTCCTTTATTTTACTGCAGTTACTTAAAATGTCTATAAGAACTTGTCTTTTTCTATAGGGTGGACGGGGTAGTTCAAGTCATAAGAGTGGTGCCACTAAGGTTTCAAAACAACTCGCGTTGGCCTTTGGTAAGCGAACACTATCCAGATGTCGGAGATTTGAAGAAACAGGTCGAAGCTGCTTCAGTGAACCAGCTTTGCGCGATGTGATCTTGTCAGTGCCGCTACAGAACATCGACACTAAACATTCAGATGGATCCAGCGCTATTTATCATGTGGAATCACGAAGTGGTCAACTTGGTGTTCGGGCATCAGGTATATAAATAGATTTCATTGTTTTCACCTACTGTAGAAGCATGATTGTTTTCACCTACTATATATTTCATATGCTGGTCACATTTGTTTGTTTATACCTTTATTTGGTGTTTAATTTCAATATAACATGATCAGGCACTTCTCTTTCATCATTTTCTTATTAGTAGAGTCAGTGGGCTGGGCTTACTTGCTAGCCCAACACCTCTCCCTTCCTTTAAGCACACCATATAGTACCAGGCTGAAATTTAGACCTTTTATGTGTCTGACTGGTAGCAGTGGTACATATAATGCTTTTGTTGGTGAATCTCATAATATGCAGGTGTCTACATATGACCCCTATGTTATGTGGTATTTATATTACTATTATAAGTTCATAAATGCAACAAGTACATAATGGAGTGCAAACTTATTTTGCTTATAAAAGATTCAACAACTAGTCACATTTATTTGTATTTTTGGTTCTCTGAGTTGGGCATGGGTCTTAAGAAAAAGTTGTAGGCTGGCAGTGGTCTAACCTAGGCCTAGCCAGGGTCTGTCTCTTGACACCCTAGCTATTATCAAAGAGTTCTCATCATAAATCCATCTATTCTGAGGATTTCCTTTCCTATTTCTTTTTTACTGTGGTAATATATACACCTTCTGCTACTTGGCTTTCAGGTGTAACATCTATCATGTCAGCGAGACATGGGCTTGGGAATAAGATTGATCGAGGTCCATTAGATCCATATCAAGGTTTTCCTCAGATGGGCGACCCATCAGTTAATAAAAGGAAGAAGGAGGTGCTTCTGGATGATGTTGCAGGTGCTGCTTCTAGAGCCTCGTCAACTCCTACACACACTCTTCCAAGTAGTGCGAAATGGAAAAAGACTGAAAGAGATAGGGATCAGAACAAAGATACATTAGGAAGAAGCTCTACTGCTAAAGCTGGCCGTCCATCTTTAAGCAGCGGCAGGGGTGAACGGAAAACAAAGACGAAGCCCAAACAAAAGATAGCTCAGTTGTCAACTTCCGGAAATGGTCTTGGCAGAGTTACAGAGGCAGCTAATTTTATGTCACCAGCATTGCACGAACCCTTTGACACAGTGAACAATATTATCACCAAAATTGATCAAGAAATTGAATTGCAAAGTTCGAGTACGATTGCCCATGATTCGTCTAAAGAGATTGATGATGCTATTTTCACAAACCTACCACTACATGGGATAGACTCTATCGATGAATTAGATGTCACCGAAGGGCTGGGTGGACAAGGTCAGGATATTGGTTCTTGGTTAAATGTTGATGAAGATGCACTACAAGATCATGATCTGGTGGGCCTAGAAATTCCAATGGATGACCTTTCAGATTTAAAATTGAACTTTTAAAGAGAGCCCATGTTCCCTGGATATTCAAAATCTAGGTCAGAGAAAGAGTGCTCTTATCCTCATAACTGAGTCAAATTGTCTACCTCATGACAGTTGAATCTGTAACTAGGCCAGTCTATTCTTTTGTATACTTGTTGAGTTTGTGGCAGATCCCAATTGTTTTCTGTCACCTGAGAACTGTTCAGAGTACCAAATTATAAAATCAATTGAGCATTCACCTAGATTATATTATTTTAAGATGTTATTCTTGTCTTTTATTTTCTCATTTTTGGACTTCATAGTCTTGTGTCTTCATGAAATAGTAAATTTCTCCAAACTAAAGTTCATTCTTTTCCCTGATTATTCACCAATTTTTTCCGGAGTAAAAAGACTTTGCAAGCCACTATTATATGATAGTTCTTTTTTTTATGTCTGTTATCTTTTTGCAAGAGAAGGTGAAGTTTGGTTTGTTTTTTTCTTTAAATTTGGTATTTTGACAATCTGTGAAGTCATGGCGAACTTTGTTCCGGATTACACTTGTTCAACATTCAAGATCTATTGTGGTCATGTTGGTGCAGTTACTTGTTTCACAGTTTCCAGATGACACCTTTTCCTTGCTAAGTCGATAAGATGTAGGTAAAGTTTCCAGATGACACCTTTTCCTTGTGAGTCAAGTATCTCTTTTATTGTGTAGGTAAAGTTGCATATATTATTTCTTCCCACCCTACATCGGTACGTGATCATGTTACACTTTTGATTGGTTCTTGAAACTTAAACGATGCCTGCAGTTTGTTGGGCGCTCATCATTCTGTTTTTATTACATACTATTGTCATGCAAATGTTTTGGTCACAGGTTCACTTATTCTGGATGGTACATTGTTTCTGATGTGAAGTTTTGTTTAGAGGAAATAAAAAATGTTGGGCTGATGCACTAAGTTTCATCTGAGATGTGCTCGACTGTAGCAGGAGTTTGCATTCTATGGAGCAGCAGAGGAGCATTTTGGATATCGTTTTCTGTAGGACTTTTATGCATAGGTTATTTAGTTTTGTCTGATGTTCTTGTTAACAAGAGTGTACTACTTGTTCAGATTGGAAGCTGAACTGAGCCAACTTCAATGCGGCTGATCCACCATTGTTCATTTCTTTCCTGTTGCATTTATCTTTTGTTTCTTTTCTATTTTGTAGTGTAATCCTATGAAGTTGAGGATCTAAATGAATTGGGTACTCTTTTATTTGTTTATATTTTTCATATATCTGAATGAATTGGGTATAACATTAAGATCTGATGTAAACATTAACTCAAAAAAGTTCATATATTTTAGAAATCCTTGAAAAATTATTTTATATTTATTTTTACTTAATTACTGTTACCTTCGTTCGACTCGTCCTACCTCTTCTTTATTCTACCATCATCGTGGCAGAGGTTTTGCTTTGCCATTCTCATTCATGAGTCTAAACTTACACCTCTATCATTAGTCATGAAAGTTATGAGAGAAGAATGAACAGGTTGTAAACGAAGGAGGGAATTATAATTACGAAGGAGGAGGGGATTATAGTTACAAGGACACCTCTATCATTAGTCATGAAAGTTATGGGAGAAGAATGAGCATGTTGCAAACGAAGGAGGGAATTATAATTACGAAGGAGGAGGGGATTATAGTTACAAGGACGAGATCGACAAGAAGGAGAGTTAGGTCGCTTGTGGAGTGCGAGGAGGGTGATAATGCTAGACGGAGGTGATAAAATCAAAATCATCATTTAAAAAAAGGCACTACATAATTTTTTTTTAAAGTTGAAACACTATTATATATATATATACATATATATATATAATAAAAATAAATAGGTTATATATATATATATACACGTGGCACGAACGACGCAGTACGCAGGCTTCGTACCCGTGACTCTTGTCGTGTCGCAATCGGCAACTTTTAGGGAGGTGATGGTAGGTAATATAGCAAAAAATAAAAAAAAGGGTTATTGAAGGAAAATAAAAAAGAAAAAAAGGGTTTGTTTTAGGGACGGCGGGGGTTTCAACGCTTCGGTCACTGTCCCCCTCTTCTCCACCACAGGAGAGATCAAGAACCAGGTGTCCAAAACCCTCCTCTCTCTCGCCGACAAGCGCTCGGATATCATCAGGTCTCTTCCTCTTTCTTGCTAAACGTGCTGAATTTTCTTTTGCGTTCCTCTTGCTTCATTTGCACCCTCGGATTTGGGTTTCCCGTCTTTTTCTTGGTAGTTTACCTCTTGCGATTTCCTCGGTCTTTCCCCGCTCAGTTGAATTCCATGCTCTAACTCTGGGGTTTGTGAACCTTGCTGACCGTCCCTGTCAAGTTTATCTTCATTTTCTTGAACGATCGAATGCCAAATTAGTCTTCAAGATGCGGTGAAGCTTCTTGTCGGTCAACTGAATGCCATTTGGGTTTTTCTTCCCTTCTTGTTTCCCTGAGTAGGTCTCGGCAGAACACCCACCACTGCAGATGCGAGGAGTGCAGAAGCCGCATTCGTGGCGGTCTCAATTCTAGAATATATCGTATAAGCTGCCGAGATTCCGGTGAATTTGCCAAGATGACGACACATTTGTCATGTTTTACACCGTTGGCTCACGAATGTTTCTTTCAGAATTCTCCCAAGCTTGGTGGCAGAGAAGTAACGGATCGATGGATTGGTAGAAAGGTCTCGGTTGAAATGCTCGACGGAAGGGAAGGTCTTGTTTCTCGTTTTCCCCGTGCTAGGTGTTTGGCCAATTCTCACAGAACCAGTCCATATGACAGTAAAGACCCTTTCTTGAATCGTCAGCCTGATGGTTTCCTGTTGCGAGGAGAGTACTCGGATATTACTACGGTGAGCTCAAGGGAGTGGCCTTCTCCGAACGAGTATAATGAGGCCAAGATCAAGGTCATTGGTGTCGGTGGTGGGGGCTCCAACGCTGTCAATAGAATGATTGAAAGTTCCATGAAAGGTGTGGAGTTTTGGATAGTTAACACAGATGTCCAAGCAATGAGAATGTCATCCATCTACCCTGAACATCGCCTGCAGATTGGTGAAGAACTAACCAAAGGCCTTGGTGCTGGTGGTAATCCAGATGTTGGCATGAATGCTGCCAAAGAAAGCAAAGAGTTGATACAAGAGGCTGTCTATGGTGCTGACATGGTCTTTGTGACGGTAAAGACATAATATTCTTTCAGCATATTAGCCACTTAATGGTGTGATATTTTCTTCTTCTTCTTCGATCATTTAGTATCATCATTGGTAAATGAAATAGTGAGTTGCACACTATAATACTACCTTATGTCAAAGTTACTAGAAAAAGTCTGCAAAATTGATCTGAAACTTTCGATATGTATTAAGAGTTTTTTGTGCCTTGATATATGCCAAACTCTGCTGTGTTATTGGTCCTTTACATTTTTTATTAAAAAAAAAAATCTGTTGTTCAGCTTTATGACAATTCCATAACTCAAGAAACTCTGGACCTTAGGTTTTGTAGTCTAAATTTGGTCATCAAACATCCTTGATAGAAGAGCTTCAAGTATTATACAATACACATGTAACCATAGGGCAATAACCATCCTTATGCATTCTTACACTATGACAGTGAGGTCCCTATGAAAACTCATGCAGATCAAGTATAGATCACTGGGGTCATTTCATCACCTTTTTGATGAGTGGCTTTGTATTTGCTTCCCCTATGAATTTTACGATCTGGATAAGATTATGATATGACATTGCTGCGAGATGAGACTGAGTCGCCATATGAATGATATAAAAAAGCTGCACAAACAAATTGAAACATTTCTACAGTTTTATCTTCACACATAGACACAGTCACTGCTACTTTGTTATGTTCACACATTCTATGTACAGACACAAGTGACATACATGGACATCCATAAGGGAGACCATCTGCTTCATTCCATATTACTAATTTACACCCACTAAATGCTGAAAGTTACCAGCAGAATCATGATATGTGGTACATCTATTATCAGTTTGTCTGACTTGGGATTCATTAAAAATGATTTAGGAATGCCAACTTAATTAAATAGAAAAATTAAACATTAGGAGCAGAATTAGCTGGTGGTACTCTATTCATGTAATCACAAGATTTTGAAAGTTCTACTGTTGATTTTATTACCTAAATACTGTCACATCAAATATCTAGTTGGTTGTTGGATATTTCAGAAATTTGATTCCTTATCATGAAATAATGTTGGAGAACATGCACATGTACTGTGAGATTTCCTTAACTGCACTTGCCTTATGAATAACTAATTATATGCATGCAAAATTGGTTGATCGTCATGCTGAATTGTTCATCTAATCTAGGTAATTAACCCTGTAAGCGCTGTACAGGATTCACTTAGTGAAAATTATAGATATATCTAGAAATATATATTTTTGACTAATGTTGCTACAAGTTTCTGTTAAGCAAATCATCTTGTGGCATTACATGCATCACCACACTATGGAGTAAGCAACTTATTCTATTTTGTGGAGATATGGAATTGATGCTGAGCATGGTTGAGTGCATAGTGGTCTGAATCTTGGATAGTTATGATAATAAACTAATCTTCTATGTGCATTGAAAACTCATTTGTCCTAGTTCTCTGGATGTATTCTTCGCCATATAAACATGTGCTTTTAACTCTATATTTTATAGTTGTACTTATTTCTAAATTCCTCTGCTGACTCCTTAAAGCAAGGTCATATCATACTTTCTGCAATTAAATGTCTGTAGGCTGGAATGGGTGGAGGTACTGGGACTGGAGGTGCTCCTATAATTGCTGGGATAGCCAAGTCAATGGGTGTTTTGACCGTAGGTATTGTCACAACTCCATTTTCATTTGAAGGACGAAGAAGGGCAGTTCAAGCTCAAGAAGGAATTGCTGCTTTAAGAGACAGCGTTGATACACTGATTGTCATCCCAAATGACAAATTATTGTCAGCTGTTTCTCCAAACACTCCTATGATAGAAGCATTTAACTTGGCTGACGATATACTTAGGCAAGGTGTCCGTGGTATTTCTGATATAATCACGGTATGAATCGGATGGCCATTTTTTGTGTGAATATTCTCCAGATCTTTTTTCCTTATATCTAGGCTTTTCTAGAGCGTAAACAACTAATGTTATCTTAGCAAGTTTACCAAGTCCAACTTGATAAATAAAGTTGTAACTTATTAGTGATATTGGTCGTTTGTTGAAGTACGAAACTAGGAAACTCCAAATTCTGTTTCTCATATATAATTTTATTTTC